CACAAAGAAATAAAAAGCATCCAGATTGGCAAGGAAGAAGTTAAACTGTCCCTGTTTGCAGACGACATGATATTGTACATAAAAAACCCTAAAGACTCCACTCCAAAACTACAAAATCTAATATCCAAATTCAGCAAAGTTGTGGGATACAAAATTAATACACAGAAATCTGCTGCAATCCTATACACTAATGATGAACTAGCAGAAAGAGAAATCAGGAAAACAATTGCATTTACAGATTCAAAAATAATAAAATACCTAGGAATAAACCTAACCAAGGAAGTGAATGATTTATACTCTGAAAATTACATGATATTCATGAGAGAAATTAAAGAAGATACCAATAAATGGAAACACATCCTGTGCTCACTGATAGGAAGAATTAATATTATCAAAATGGCCATTCTGCCTAAATCAATCTACAGATTCAATGCAATTCCTATCAAAATACCAACAGCATTTTTCCATCAGCAAACAGTTCTAAAATTCATATGGAACCACAAAAGACCCCAAATAGCCAAAGCAATCCTGAGAAGGAAGAATAAAGCAGGGGGTATTATGCTCCCCAACTTCAAGCTCTACTATAAAGCCACAGTAATCAAGACAATTTGGTACGGTCAGAAGAACAGACCCATAGACCAATGGAACAGACTAGACAGCCCTGATATAAACCCAACCACATATGGTCAATCAGTATAAGATAAAGGAGTCATGGATATACAATGGGGAAATGACAGCCTCTTCAATAACTGGTGTTGGCAAAATTGGACAGCTACATTCAAGAGAATGAAACTGACATGTTAACCTCATACACGAAAGTAAACTCAAAATGGATCAAAGACCTGAATATAAGTCATGAAACCATAAAACTCTTAGAAGACAACATAGGCAAAAATCTCCTGAATATAAACATGAGCAACTTCTTCATGACTGCATCTCCTTGAGCAAGGGAAACAAAAGCAAAAATAAATTCATGGGACTACATCAAAGTAGAAAATTTCTGTATGGCAAAGGACACCATCAACAGAACAAAAAGGCATTGTACAGTATGAGAGAATACATTTGTAAACAACATATCTTACAAGGGGTTAACATCTAAAATATATAAGGAACTCACAAACCTCAACACCCAAAAAGCAAATAACCCAAACAAAAAATGGGCAATGGATATGAATGGACACTTCTCCAAAGAAGAAATTCAGATGGCCAATAGGCACATGAAAAGATACTCCACATCACTAATCATAAGGCAAATGGAAATTAAAACCACAATGAGATATCACCTCACACGTTAGGATGGCCAGCATCAAAAAGACTAAGAACAACAAATACTGGTGAGGATGCAGAGAAAGGGGAACCCTCCTACACTGCTGATGGACAAGTAAGCTAGTTCAACCATTGTGGAAAGCAGTATGGAGGTTCCTCAAAAAACTAAAAATCAAAATACCATTTGACCCAGGAATCTCACTCCTTGGAATTTACTCAAAGAATACAACTTCTCAGACTCAAAAAGACATATTCACTCCTATGTTTATTGCAGCACTACTTACAATAGCCCAGATAATGGAAGCAACCTAAGTGTCCATCAGTAGATGAATGGATGAAGATGTGGTACATATACACAATGGAATACTATTCAGCCATAGAAAGAAACAAATCCTACCATTTACAACAACATGGATGGAGCTGGAGGATATTATGCTCAGTGAAATAAACCAGACAGAGAAAGACAAGTGCCAAATGGTTTCCCTTATTTGTGGAGTATATCAATAATACCTTAATAAAAAATTGAAAAAAAGAATGTTCCTAAAAGTATACATATATATAATAAAAAATTAAAAAAAGAAACTTCTGCTTGAGGATTCACAGAAGTGAAGCCATTACTTGCTTGCTCCCACTTTTCTTTTTTTGTGGTTTGCCACTTTCAATTCATGAGACTGAGCAGGCCACTTAACTTCTGTGACCCTCTGCAAAGAAGAGGTGTTAGAGAACATCTATGTAATCTGACTATTCCTCGTTTGAGTTTTCAGAGTAACAGAGTGGCATGTTGAGCAGAAGTGAATAAAGCCATCAAATAGCCTCTCATGTATGAAATTGGTTCCCACAGAAATGTGTCCCTGTCCATGCCTGCAATGCAAATACAATGCAATGCAAATGCAAAGAGAAATCACAATATTTTGAATTTCACAAAGTTGATAAAAGTGAAGTTGAAACTGCTGAAGTCACAAAGTCAGCAAAAACAAAAATCTTGCAGCGTTAAACCGGTTAAAAATTGAGGAAAAGAAGATGGAAAGCTTTGGGAGGAAAGTAACACTTGATTCATTCTTTATTCTCTCTAGAGCTGGTCATGATTTGTTCATTCATTCACTCATTCAAAAAATATTTATTGCACAGATGCTGGCTCTGAGCACTAGTAATACAGTAGACCAAGAATGCACTGAAAATACAATTGTGTAAAATATGATATAAAACATGTCATTGTAATTTTTTTTGTTTCACTTTTCAAGCTTAAAATGATGCCACTCTAATTTTTTTTAATACCTGAAATGACATTTTGGTTCTCATTTTAAATGGATTTACTGTAAGAGGGCTTTTCTGGATGCAAGTTACCTTGTTTTTGTTCTTTCTAACTCCCAGAGTTTAAGAGAATCAGATGGCATTAGGTATCTGTCAACACTTCACATTTTCTAAACAACATGACAGGGAAAAGTGGTTCCCCTTGGGAGCTGCTCCTATAAAGTGTGGTTATTACAGAAAAAGCTCTCCCTGCCAACTATTAATTCTATTATTTTAGATGTAGAGGGATATCAAATCATAGCATATTTGCATCATCTGTCTCCTTTTCAATTGCTTTATCTTCCTTTTTATCCCTGATCTCTTCTCTTCTTCCCACAGGCATCCACTTCAATGTATCTGATAAAAGCTATTGGATGTTTCCTTGTGGAATATACAGTCTCATTTTGCTTTTTAATTTTTGTATCAGTATTGGGTAATGGAGCTTACTCTATTTCTTTTTTCACTCAACAATATGTTTTAAGATACATCCACATGGCCGTACAGCTAGTGTGTTGCTAACTGCTGTAGAGTATGCCCTGGTATTATCCGCTGCCCTCGAGAATGGGGCCTTAGAGTGCCTCTAACTCTCTATTACCAAATCAACACAGATGTGAATATGCTTATAAATGACCCCTTACAGCTTTTGGGATATCTATCTAGGAGAGAGGCCACTGGTCCCAGGACATATACCAGGTAGGTTTCCTGAATGCCTGTCCCAGTTTACCCTCCCACCTGCAGTGCACAAAATTTCCCATCTCCTCAGAATATCAACCCGTATTGTTAATTACCTATTTTTCCCTCTCTGATGGTTGCAACATGTCCACTGTTTTAATGCACTTACCTGATTATTGAGATTGAGAACGCCTTCGTGAATTGATTATACATACCTTTTGCCCATTCTTTATTAGGTTTGCTATTTTTTCTTGTTAATTTGCAACAGTTCTCTGTAGAGTACAAATATTATGCTTCATCCTTTTTAATCCTTGCAAATATTTTCTCCCAGATTACCTGCTTATTATATTTGTCTTGAACAGAAATCTTTTCAATATACTCAATCTTTGACTTTTTTTCTTATGGTTGCCCATCTCCTGGTTATGAATATATTCTCATACATTTGCCTCTATTGGTTTTGTTATCTTCCCTTTCCCATTTAGAACTTTAATCAATCTGGAATCTTCCTTCTCCAGGTGGAAGGTAAGGCTCCAGCTTTACTTTATTGCACATACTTTATTACTGTTTTTTAAACTCCAGGTTCCTATCAAGAAAACAATCCCATCCTTTTCTCATGACTGTGTAGTGGCACATTCATCATTATGTCTATTTTCCCATATATAGATGACACTAGTTTTATGCTCCCTCTTCTGTTCCTTTTATCTGCTATATTATTTTTGGACATCTCGTATTTTATTTTTAAAAAATCTTTTGGGTTTTACATTTTCTTCCTTAATATCATATTTCTTTTAATGTAAAAATCATATTTCAAAGTTCCAAGGCGATTTAACCTGTAAATAAAGAACCTGGTCTCTGAAATCACTGGCACAGGGTTCAAATTCTGCCTTTACCACTCAACATCCCTGTGACTCTGTATAGCAGTTTCCTATTGCTGCTGTAACAAATCACCATAAACTTAGTGGCTTAAAGCAAAACAAACATATTACCTTAGTTATGAATATCATAAGTCAAAAACATGTGACAGGGCTGCATTCTAAAGGCTCTTAGAATCCATTTTCTTGCCTTTTCTAGTTTCTCAAGGCTGACCATATAATCCTCGACTAAAAGCCCTGTACCACTCTGACCTCTACCTCCTTTGTTACATCTCCTTTTCTTACTCTTATGCCTACTACTTCCCCTTCTAAGGACTTTTGGCTTATACTGGCTCCACTAGATAATCCAGGAGAATCTCCCCATCTCAAAAGGTCTTTAATTTAATCATATCTGCCATGTCCCTTTTGCCTTCCAGGGTAACCATTCACAGGTTCTGGGGATTAGGACATGGGCATCTTTTGGGAGCCATTATTCTGCTTACCATGCCTTGGACAGGTAACTTAACCTCTCCAAGTATCAATTTCTTCATCTTTAAGTTCCTATCAACCAGAAATGGTACGTAGAGGATGTCTGTTTGGCACAGTGTTAGGAACACAGTGGGTGCTTAATAAATGGTAGATATTTTTATCCTCATTATGGTCCAGGAAGGTTCACCATGTACTACAATTGGAGAAATTCAGAGTAGAAGATGCATTGTGAAAGAGAAGTACTCAATTACTAAAAACAGTCATAACAGGTCATTTTATTAGTATTTCAATGCTAAGCCAAGTGTCCTGTTAAAGCACAGGGTTGGTCTGGCTGCCATCTTGTAATTGTTATTCTGGTGAGCAAAGTCAAGGTGATTTACTCTGCATTTGAAACAAATGACCTCTGATGCTCTCTGAATTCCCTGAATTCATAGGAAACCAAGATTTTATCACCAGTTCTCTTTTGCAGGAAAGCATTACATGGTTTCAATAAAGAAAATCACAGAGTACTGAAAGAGTCTGGTGTTCTGTGTGTGAAAGATCTCAGGGGACTTAATTTGGCTAAGGGAAGTTCTCTGAATCAAGGCATATTACAATCTGTATGTAATCAGATTCAGTAGATCAAGGAGGAGGGAGAGTGTGTCATCCTTTGCAAGTCTGTACATTCCCAGAGCAGGAGCCATCAATGGGAGAAGGCTGATGTCAGGAGCAGGATGGGAGCATGCTGAAGGGACGAGGAAATGACAAAGTCCAGGCATATCACAAGGCCAGGACCAATAAGACTGCAATCACAGGAAGATTTCATTTTGATGCAAATAACAGCATCTTAGAATCCCAAGAATTTAGTTTCTGGCCCTGGAATTAGAATGCCAATCTTGAATCTGATATTTATTAGCTGTGGCCTTGAGCAATGTTCTAATGTCTCTGTGCCTCAGTTTCTCTTATTTCCAAAATGGTGATAGTATCATCCATATAGTTAGTGCCTGTGTAGATTAAATGAGTTCATCTACTCAGTGTTCTGCCTCTCACTCAACCACAGTTAGCTGTTAGTATTGCTGTGATTGCCTGTCTCTAAAATGAACCAGGTAGTTTTCAAGGGTCAGAGGGGTTGAATGATTCATACATCATCCTGATGATAATTAGAAACAGATAATCTGGGTTCCTCATCTAAAGCTGCTTCTACTAGAGAAAGCTACAGCAATCTGGAGATGCCATCAGATTTCATGGGGAATACCAAAGGCAATAGCTCTCTAATGTGTCATGATCACAAAAGAAGCCAAGTGGCAATTCTTCAAGAAAGTGCAGCCCCACTGCTCCCTGTGGTCAAACTCGCCTCACTCTGTGTGAACTCAGAGCATGATTACCAGGCCAGTTTAGCAGACATGAGAGATTAACAGTGTATTAGTTGTGGTAGGTTTGCTGCTGTAACGAACACACACTTCTATGGCTTCACACAACTGAAGGCTGTTTTTCTGCCAAGTAAAATCCAGAGTGGGTGTTTTTGCTGGGTGGGCAGCTCCCCTCCAAGTGGTGATTAGGGATCCGGGCTCTTTCCATCTTGGGCTCTGGAAACAGTGCAATTATTTCCACTCATATTTTGTGGGCTACAGATGTCACATGGATATGATGAACTGCAAGAGATCCTGGGAAATGTCCTGCTGTTGTTCCCAGAGAGAAAAGGATGCAGATTTGATGATTAGTTGGTCTTGCTGCAGGAAGTAACATTTTTTAGAGGAGTGAATATAAACTCAGATCAGATTTCCTCTGCCAGCTTCACTTCAGGAGAGATCCTGCCATGATCAGCCCTTGGAGTCAGTGAATTGCTCAGCCAGAAATAACCAAGGCTTGACATCCACCCAAGATCCCAAGTACCCTAAAGAACCAGCAAAGGTTTGAAGCTAATGGTATCATCTGTTTTTGGTGGAGGGAGGATGGGGCAGTGAAGGGAAGACCCGGAAGCAGAGGATATTAAGGTAGCAAAGGTGGGAAGGGTGACAGGAATCACTGTTTTGACATTTAAAACATAACTTTTATAATGGAAGCATTTAAGCATATAGGAAAGTAGAAAAAATAGTCTAATATAAACATTTAAGTTTAAGAGGTAAAATCACATTTCATTTTGGAAAAAGTGAAAGGAAGAAAAGAGGAGAGTGGAGAAAGAGCACAGTAGGATTCTGAGTCGGCCTCCCCCCACAGGTGCGCCGAGAGGACGAGAGATAACACGACTGTGCTGAAAGTGCCCTGGAGACGGGCAGAACAGAGCTCATGCAGCTGAGACACAGAGACAGCCACATGGAAAAGAGCAGGAGGGGCAGAAAGGTGCAGTCAGGAACCAGACCCTGGGCATGGCAGCCCACAGGTGGGAGGGGCATCACAGGCACAGAGGACCCCACTGAGGAGTGAGGGGTTCAGACCCTACTTCAGGCATCTGGGGACCTGGACCCAGAAAATGAGGCCCCTTAATGTCTGCCTTTGAAAATGAGTAGGGTTTAACTCTGGGAGAGCCAGAGGACTATGGGAAACTGAGACTCCACTCTCAAAGGGCCAGTGCACTATATCATTCCATCTGAGACCCAGTACAAAAGCAGAGGTTGAAAAGCACCTAGGTTATAAGCAGAAAACTACTGACAAATTTCAGGCCATGTGCTGGAGGGACCTGGATCTGTAGGAGAATTTTCCAGCAAGAGAAGTGCTAACGGGTGACTTTTCTTGCCCTCCTTCAGCCCAGCTGGCCCAAAGCTTGCAGAAGCCAGTTCTAACATGCTCCATCTACCATGCTACCACTGCTCACTCCACCCTGGAGTTCCTCTGCAGACCTGCTCTAGGAGTGCCCCTCCAAAACATCTCCCATTGTTCCATACCTGGAGGGCAGCATTGGCCAGGGCCAGTACCCCTCCAAAGTGACTTGTGAGCCAGAGAGAGGAGGGGCCAGCCCTGCCCATAAGCACCCCCATAGCAGTCACCGTTGGTCACTGGAGACAACTGGCTAAAGGCCAGACCCTGCCACCAGGGCATCTGCAGTAGAGTCACAGCCTACTGACAACAGAAGGATGCACACCACTCACAAAGGGGACCACCCTGGGGCACCTGGTTCTGCTGACCAGAGGGTGTTGTACCTTCTACATGATGCCACTACTTTCAAGGCCACTTCCCTTCAAAAAGGATACAGACATCCCAGTCCAAGAATCACAGAGAGCCCCACACAAGATGAACCCAAGAAGAGCCACACCAAGACACATGATAATAAAAATGTCAAAAATTAAAGAAAAAGAATCCTAAAAGCAACAAAAGAAAAGCAGTTACATGCAAGATAAATCCTATGAGGTTATCAGCTCATGGGATTTTCATCAGAAACTTTACAGGCCAGAAAGAAGTGATGTGATATACTCAAAATGCTGAAAGGAAAAACCTACAACCAAGAATATTCTAACCTGCAAGGTTATCATTCAGAATTGAAGGAAAAATAAAGAGTTTTCTGGACAAGCAAAAGTTAAGGGAGTTCATCACCACTAAATCAGCCTTAAAAGAAATGTTAAAGGGTCTTCTATAAGCAGAAAAGAAAAGACCATTCCTAAAGTAAGCATTTAAGAGAGGGAAAAATTTCAGTTGTAAAACTAAACATATAGTAAAGGTTGCAGATCAGTCACTTATAATGATAGTATGAAAATTAAAAGACAAAAGTAAATTATATCTTAAAAAATTGAGGGATGCACACAATAAAAAGATGTAAAATATGAGGTTGTATATATAAAATGTAGAAGGGGAGGACTAAATTGTCATGTTTTTAGAATGTTTTCAAACTTAAATGACCATCAACTTAATACAGACTGCTATATATACATATATGTCATAAATAAACCCCACGTAACCAAAAACCAAAAATCCTACAATAAATACACAAAAATAAAGAGAAAGGAATACAAGCACAGCACCAAAGAAAGTCATCAAATCATAAGGGAAGAGAGTGAGAGGAAAACTACAAAAACAACCAAGAAATAATGAACAAATGGCAATAAATATAAACTTTCAATAATTACTTTAACTGTAAGTGCACCAAGTGCTGCAGTTAAAAATTCCCAGAGCAGGAGCCATCAATGGGAGAAGGCTGATGTCAGGAGCAGGATGGGAGCATGCTGAAGGGACGAGGAAATGACAAAGTCCAGGCATATCACAAGGCCAGGACCAATAAGACTGCAATCACAGGAAGATTTCATTTTGATGCAAATAACAGCATCTTAGAATCCCAAGAATTTAGTTTCTGGCCCTGGAATTAGAATGCCAATCTTGAATCTGATATTTATTAGCTGTGGCCTTGAGCAATGTTCTAATGTCTCTGTGCCTCAGTTTCTCTTATTTCCAAAATGGTGATAGTATCATCCATATAGTTAGTGCCTGTGTAGATTAAATGAGTTCATCTACTCAGTGTTCTGCCTCTCACTCAACCACAGTTAGCTGTTAGTATTGCTGTGATTGCCTGTCTCTAAAATGAACCAGGTAGTTTTCAAGGGTCAGAGGGGTTGAATGATTCATACATCATCCTGATGATAATTAGAAACAGATAATCTGGGTTCCTCATCTAAAGCTGCTTCTACTAGAGAAAGCTACAGCAATCTGGAGATGCCATGAGATTTCATGGGGAATACCAAAGGCAATAGCTCTCTAATGTGTCATGATCACAAAAGAAGCCAAGTGGCAATTCTTCAAGAAAGTGCAGCCCCACTGCTCCCTGTGGTCAAACTCGCCTCACTCTGTGTGAACTCAGAGCATGATTACCAGGCCAGTTTAGCAGACATGAGAGATTAACAGTGTATTAGTTGTGGTAGGTTTGCTGCTGTAACGAACACACACTTCTATGGCTTCACACAACTGAAGGCTGTTTTTCTGCCAAGTAAAATCCAGAGTGGGTGTTTTTGCTGGGTGGGCAGCTCCCCTCCAAGTGGTGATTAGGGATCCGGGCTCTTTCCATCTTGGGCTCTGGAAACAGTGCAATTATTTCCACTCATATTTTGTGGGCTACAGATGTCACATGGATATGATGAACTGCAAGAGATCCTGGGAAATGTCCTGCTGTTGTTCCCAGAGAGAAAAGGATGCAGATTTGATGATTAGTTGGTCTTGCTGCAGGAAGTAACATTTTTTAGAGGAGTGAATATAAACTCAGATCAGATTTCCTCTGCCAGCTTCACTTCAGGA